CGACGCTTGGGAGAGGAGATTACCTCCGGTATACGTTGCATCGCCAATCGAACGAGATGAATTTCCGGCAGCGGTGCTGCTCGACTAAAAGGACTTTTCCCTCACGTAAAGGATAAATATCCCTCTCTAAAGAATATTTCCCGACCAAGTTGGCGATCGATGGAGAACGACGGCGCGGCGCTTCCTATAATTATTTCGCATTTACGCGCTAAGCTTTTCCCCTTTTCACGACGAAATAATTCATTCGACATTTGACGATTGCCTACGGAAAGAGAAATATGAGAAAAACCGATTACGAGGAAATTATATCTACGTCGCACGGTATTTTGCACGAACATTGATAACATCTCGAGTTAAAAAGAATGACTAGGAATTATATAAATATCAAGTCTCCTTTTTCGCGCGCGAAAAGTAAAACGTACTGATATGTCACGCTTATTACAATTGCCGCAATCTTAATTAAATGCAGTAAAATTTATAATCATCGTCAAATTATTGCCGAACAATACGAAAAACTAAACATATATATATATATTTCTCAATTATGTTTTAGGGTATTAAAGCCTTTTCTCAATCTAGGATCTCTTGCTTAATTTCTGTAAACTCCTCTTAAATTACTAATGAGACGCATTAAAATATTTAAAAAGTACATTAGAAACATATATGCATGTTTCATCCCGTAAATCTTGTGCCATTTTGTTAATCCTGTTTCGCGCAGAGAATATGCAACGACGTAATTACATGCGAATATACCAACCGTGCCAACAAGCGCATAAATCCTAAACGAGTTAAGTGGCGAAGTTAGATTGCCCGGCATTCATTGTTTTTTTTTTTTTTTTTTTTGTTTTCGTTGTTAAGCGAAACACATATATATACACACACATACAAAGGGAGAAAGAGAGAAAGTCCGTTTAATGTTAATTCGTAAATCTGCTAATACGCGTCCAGCGGCAAAACTAATTACATCAAGCTATAGAAAGACGTTGAGACGAGGGTGAGGGGCGGGCTGGCATTTCATTGTGATTACACGGTCCACAATGCACCGTGAAAATTAACAGACCGCGTTTCAAGTCGCTCGTAGCGGGAAAGCTGAGGCTGGAATGAAGTTTCTCGTCGCTCTGCGACGAGAGAATTTCCCCCAAGATGTAGCGGGCTATTTTTCACTTTTAAGATACGAGACATCGAGCGGAAGGAATGGTATGGGACATATTTTTTCACGTTTCAGAGAATAAAAGCACGAAGGAAATTTTTTAATGTAAATAAATGCTGTGCTTTTTTTCCATGTCATTCTTTTATATTATGAAAAAGATAAAATAATCCTCGAGGAAGACATGGGGGGG